CTGGTCAGCTGCTGGGGCCCTCACGGACAGAGATCTCCAGGGGAGGACAAGGAGCGCTGGGCCTCATGCCTGCGGAACCGCGCCATGGACGTGTGCTACCAGCCGGCCCCAGGAGCAAGGCTGGAGGCGGAGAGGAAAGAGGGGCGGCCGCCCCGCTGCTTGTGGTACCTGAACTCAGCCTGGGTGAAGAACACGTCGCTCTGGTCAGGCCAGGTCACGCTGCAGAGGGCACTCCTACCAGGGAGCGCTCCTCCGCCCATGGCCTCCAGCCTCCTTACGGTGAAATGCTCGTGTGCTTCATGCATGGACCTTGAAGTCCACGTTTCCAGCAGCAGCCACCCTTTTCTGCAGAGCTTTACTTACTCAGTGTGGTTTATCCCTGCACAACATCGGATGCAAAGGTGTGAGTGGACCTTCCGCCTACAGCTTTTTGGGACACAAAAGGACTACCTTTTCCAGAAGAGCATGTATGCAGACAACGATCATGTAAGAAACGTCAAACGTCTTGCCCGTCGCTCAGCTTTACCCTTTGATCCAGAGGAACGCACGAGGTTTGTGGCAAAAGTGAACTGTACCAGAAGTGCACTTCCACCATCTCTTGTAAGAGTCAGAGTCGACAACTATGCGGCGAAAACCATAGAAGCACCAGTGTCTTGCCAGCAAACAAGCTGTTACATACGCACCTTGCACATTCGGAAACCTGCTAATACCTCTGTCCTTCACCGCAAAAGGCAGACATATTTCACCCTCTCTGTCAGCTTGATAGTAGAATGCCCCTTCACTATATCTATCAAGCCTTTATGGCAGATCTATCCTGTTCCAGACATGAGCACTGGTCCAGACTGGTCAAACCCAGTAGACACTACTAGGATGCACGGCACAGACATGGTAATCTTAACTGTTCCCAGATATTCTTTAAATTATGGGTTGTATCTGTTTCATTTCACTGCTGAGGTAACCCTGATTGAGACCAACACAGTCTTCTGGGGCACAGATAGCGTTTATGTTCGCATTGAGGGAAGTGATTTAGTGGCACATATTACAGGAGGCACGTACCGCAAAGTGGGTTTTTCTGCTAATTGGACTCTTGATGGCTCTGGGTCCTTTGATCCTGATTCACTGGATAGACAAAAGGAAATCACATTTACTTGGTACTGCACTAAAGAGATGTCAGACTATAACAGCATGAAAATCAGCCTGGGAAACAAATGCCATCCAGCTCAGAGGGATTTGAAATGGATAACACCCTCAGGTCCAGTTCAAACGGTGACAGCAGAATCCCTCCCAGGAAACACTGAATACCACTTTCGTCTAGAGGTTCGAAAGGGTGAGAGGTGGAATTATGCCGATCAAACTGTAGCTGTGCAGCTCAGCTCTCCTCCTGAACTCCTTCTGAACGTGGCATGCCTTGAAAACTGTGGTAGCACTTTAATTCCAACAGAGAGATTTATCTTGTCTGGAAAATGTGTAAACTGTAAAAGCAATAACCACCCAGTCTACTACTGGTCCCTTTTTTCAGAAAACTCTACAGAAATTAATTTTGACTGGTCTTCCAAAACCTCAACAGGGAGATGGGGGCCTTACCTGTCTATACATGCTCTGACTTTTACAAAGGCTGCGCATCGATCCTACATACTTATGTTAAAAGTAACTACCCGGGATGGTAGGTCCTCACTCTACAGACATGCGTTTAAGGTAAATTCTCCTCCTACATCTGGCAAGTGTACCATCAACCCACGCCAGGGTATGGCCTTTCAGACAAAATTTATTGTTCAATGCCGTGGATTTTATGACAGCAATCTACCTCTGACATATAAAGTGATAGTGGCTTCTGATATACCCAAAACTACCAAAGTAACTTCTGTGGAGGAAAATACATTTGGCACAATTCTGTACTTTGGTTATAAGCCTGAAACTCCTCCAACTTTTCTCCCAGTTGGAGCGCCTTCTCGGAAGTACGTCTTGACACTTTATGTTCAAGTCTGTGATTCCCTTGGAGCGTTTACCCAAGTAAATTTACACGTCCGCGTGCGGAACCCAGTTACCCGGCGACCACTGGCTGTTGTGTTTGATGAACTGCTGGACTCAGTGAGAGGTTCAAGTTCACCGATGACATCTTATCTCCAGATTGGAGATTATTTTAGTGCGGGTTATTTGGCTTATCTGGCAGGCTCAGTCTTAAAATATATTAAGGCCACACCAAATCTCAAGCTCCCTAAGGCTCAGCTTCGGGAAAACCTGATTAAAGCGTCCCTGAATATTTCAGTTGAGAACACAATGGAAGTCAACCAAATAGCTGCTTCTCTTTCTCAAGTCACAGAGGAAGCTGATGAAGTGAACATTAGATCACAAAACCTGGTCATTAGAAAACTGATGGAAGTAACGGGAGTGCTGAAGATACTGAGGAATGAGAGCCAATGGTCTGAGGAATCAGAAATTCAGACTAGTGGAATACTAAGCTGCTTGTCCAACATCCTGAGCGCTGCTCTTCTGCATCGCAGCAATGTCAACGTAAATGGAATTAAACAAGCGTTCTCCATCATGGAAAATTTAACAGAGATAGTTTTCCAGGGCAAAGTCCCTGGAGAAACAGACACTGTCATGAAAACAAAACACTGGAATATCACTCTGATGAAAGATGAACACTGGAACATTTCAGATGCTTTCTCCACCAGAGGCACCTGCAAGAATTGCTTTTATCCATCACTGAAAAAGGGAAATTATTCAGAATTGGACCCTGATGCAGTGATTTCCACTGCTGTTTTTGAGTTTGATGAGAACCCCTTCCCTTGGTTAGGTTACACATCAGAAATTGGAACAACGATCTTGGGGTTCAAAATGGCAGAGACCAAACCTAATGGGGATCTACTAGAGATCATGCCTGAAGGGGCAGAAATTACTGTTGCTAGGAAAGATAAGGCATCTTCGGCCTTTCAGTTAGCAATGGGACCTGACAAAACACAAGCTTACACAACTGGAGGATTCAGTCTTGAAGTCAACAGAAATACCAAGAGCATATACATCCAGATCCTGACCAAATTAAAAGTCACTTTCAAGGTGCTAGTATTTACAGGTGCCAACATCACTGACGCTCATCCCATAGCTTCATTTGCTGCTTTTCATAACACGACAACAGTTGCAATCAACGAGACAGCTAGCAATGACTGTAAAATTAAGGCTCCCTATATTATCTGTCTCCCAGAGTCACTGCTGAAAGCCACAGCTGAAGGAAGCGGTACAGAAACTTATAACATCTCCATTGTCTTGGTGGCACCCTATTTCGTAAGATATCAAAACCTGAGACTGGTGAGAATACACATTTTTAGTGATCAGTGTTTATTTCTGGATGGGATTCAAAGCCTGTGGAGAGGAGACGCATGCAGGCTGGGCTCCTTGACCGACTGGCAGAAGGTGCACTGTGTCTGCGATACGCAGCTCAGCAACAAAAGTCCGTCGGACCATATTGCATCAGGTGCAGTCTTGTTCAACATCAGGTTCCTGGCAGCTCGAGTATTAGTTACCCCCAACACAGTAGATCTGGGACACGCCCTGATAGCAAACATACCTAAAAACCTAGTGACCCTCTTAACGGTGCTCTTTATTTTTGTAATCTACTTTCTTTTGTCCATCTGTGCCATAAGAAAAGACATAGCTGATAGCAACAGGAGAGACAAGATTATATTTTTGTCAGACAACGACCCCTTTGATAAAGTGAGCTATTTGGTCACGTTATACACGGGCAGTCGCTGGGGAGCTGGAACCACAGCGGATGTTTTTCTTCAGCTGATCGGCCAGAATGGCACAAGTGATGTCCATTGTTTACAGCACCACTACTTCACCTCTTTCCAACAAGGAAGCTCTGATTGCTTTCTGTTAACTACTAAGGAAGACTTGGGAAACATTTTATTCTTCAAGGTCTGGCACAATAATAAGGGCTCTTCTCCAAGCTGGTTCTTAAGCAGAGCCAAGGTTGAGAATATGCGCACCAGGAAGAGCTGGTTCTTTATGTGCAGGAAATGGCTTTCTCTTCACAAGGGTGATCGCTTACTAGAAAGGACATTTTCTGTCACAAACCCCAAGACACCTCTGCCCAGAACTGAATGTTTCTTAATTAGTCTTGGCAACAGCCTGACCCAGGACCATCCATGGCTCTCGATTCTTGCTCACGTTCTCCGTAGCTCTTTCAGCAGGTTCCAAAGGTTGTCTTCATGTTTAGCAATATTATTATTAAACTTGCTTACTAACATCATGTTCTTCAACGCTGACAAGAATGAAGAATCTCCCATGCACTTGAGGTACCTGAGATCAATAACGATAGGCATCGAATGTGTGTTGATCAACACACCTGTGGAAATCGTTATTAATGCCTTATTTAAGTATTACCAGAGGCAACCTCCTCCTCTTGCTGTGGCTCAGACAGAGCCGATGGTAAATTCAACTCTTCTGTCTGGAAATCATAATAACTGGAAGGAAAGCTCGCAAAAAATTTCCCTTTCGGACACTTCAGCACAATCAGTGAATACTAGTCCCTTGGAGAAGCTTCCTGGGCCCTTGGAGAACCTTCCTGGTCCCAGCAACTCACAGATCCCACCGTGTTCCAGAGAGACTAAAAGCGAGGGAGCTCCCCAAAACTGGAGCGACAGCACAGCTTCAGGAAGAGATGCAAACGTAATTGGAACAGAGGAGCAGACAATAACTGTGAATTCCCCTCCAACAGCTGAGGCCCGCCAGAAACAACCACTACCAAATTCCAGTTTTAGTACCAATTATGCAGAAGAAGAGAGCAATTTGCAGAAAGAAAGGGAACAACAAAGCATTACCTCCAGGCCCTTCAGCAAGAGACCACGTGTAGCTTTTCGTCGGTGGTGCATCTATGTTGCATGGACACTCGTTATAGCTGTCACTGTGCTATCAGCATTTTTCATTGTGTTATATGGTTTGTCTTACGGCTATCAGACTTCAGTAGAGTGGCTTTTAGCATCTATAACCTCCTTTATTGAGAATGTGTTTTTCCTTTCAGTCCTAAAAATCATTTTTTTCTCAGCTATACGTACAATTCGTCCCATATCCTGTGAAAACCTCGAATGGTTTACTTGGGGAGAGCATTCTGAGATTAAGTTGGCTAAAGGAATGATGAACGCTGAAGAGATGAGAGAGAAGCACTTGAAACTTGCTAAAGTCAGAGGCACCAAGCAGTATAAGCCTGTAGAAGCTGATGAAATAGCTCACATGCTGAAAATTGAAAAAATTAAAGGCAAGGCACTTATTTTCACAACAGATTTCCTCAGTCACCTTGTCTTTTTAACGCTGCTGCTAAAATTTGCCTATTCCACTGACATTGCCAACACTTTCCACTACAGCCGATTCATCCATAACCAATTCTCTCCACAGCTCTCCAGGATAGATAAGCTAGAACAAATCTACGTGTGGGTGAGAGACTTGTTCTTGCCTGTGATCCACAACGACATTGAGCCAACCTTTCTTCCCGAGAGCCGTTCCAAAATCATCGGTTTGCCTAGGATGAGGCAAGTGCGGGCTAAAGGTACTGAGAAAACATGTTTCCATCCTCACAGCTTTGTAAATAACTCTGTGATCAGTAAAAGCCACTGTCTCCACAAATACGGCACTGACATCCCAGAGAAAGCTGACTACACCGGCACTTGGACAAAGGTTGCCAACCAGTCTGTTTCTGAGCACGCGAGCAGTTACAGCGGGTTCGCTTACCAGCGAAACAGGACTCCGTGGATGCATTATTCATATGGACAGTTGCACACATACGGACCAGAAGGATACACGTTTTACTTTTTCCCTGAAGAAGGAAGACCTAATTCAACGACAAGGCTGGATGCTCTACGACAGAGCAAGTGGCTTGATGAAAAGACATGGGCCGTGATCATTGAACTAACTACATTTAACCCAGATGCAGATCTCTTTTGCACCATCTCAGTCATATTTGAAATGTCTCATTTGGGGATCATAAAACCACGTTTGTCAGTACACTCTTTTGCACTCCCCATCTTTCATCTGCAAACTAAAACTCAAATGTTTGTGTCTGTAACTGTTCTTGCTTTTCTGTTAATTTACATTGCACATGAGCTTTGTATCATAGGCCAAGAAAAAAAAGTTTATATTAAAAGCATTTCCAATATAGTCAGCTTTAGCTTAAAATCAGCACTCCTCCCTTTTGTTTTTTTAAAGGCCATAAAGTTTAAGGTGGGAGCAGATATAGTGAAGTTTTACTTACTTCACCCAAATGATTTCATTCCATTTCATGCAGTTTCTCATCTGGATCAGAGTTTAAAGATTACTATGGGCTTTTTAGCATTTCTTGCAGTTTTGAAAACTCTCAGATACTCTCAACTCCTTTATGATGTGCGCCTGGCACAAAGATCGATCTTGGCAGCCCTTCCTGGAATCGCCTCAATGACCCTCGTGGTGGTGGTGTACTACTTTGCATTTATGGCTTTTGGCTACCTTGTGTTTGGGCAGCATGAATGGAACTACAACAGCATGATTCACTCAGCTCAGACCATATTCTCTTACTGTGTCTCAGCTTTCAGAGATACCACATTTTCATCCAACAGGTTGCTGGGTGGTCTCTTCCTTGCCTCTTTCACACTGGTGACAGTCTGTATCTTGATCATTCTCTTCCAAGCTATCATTATGTCTGCCTATGGTGATATGAAACAACCCATTTATGAAGAACCGCCTGATGAAGCACAAATGGTTGCTTTTGTATTGCAGAGGCTCAGAAGGATATTTTGCTTTCTGATCTGTAAAAAGCCCAAAAAAAGTGAGACTGATCATTTTCACACTGCAGTTGGCACACAGCCTGGGAGAAGGTATCAAAGACATTTAGGACTCAAGAACAGAAAAATAAATGGAAAAAAAATGGTTTACCTTGTCATATGAACAAGGAATGATTTTGTATTCAGACCACCTTTACTCTGTAATACTTGCCTTTCAAATAAATATTTTATTAAATAAAATATTAAATAATTTATAAATAAATTATTCACTTTTAAGATTTTTTTTTAACATTCATTCCCATACTAGTAATTGTGGTCAGATTTTCTCCTGACTATTTTGCATCAGTTTCAGTCCTGGTGTGGTGGGTTGACTTTGCCTGGCAGGTAAGCCCCTATCCAGCTGCCTTCTTCTCCCAGGAGCATGGGGAGAGAAAATAAAAGGTGAGAAAAAAACCCTCATGGATCAAGATAAGGAGTTTAAGAAGTGAAGGGGTAAACAAAAACCTGCAAAAGCAGTCATTCACCACCTGCAGATGGATGCCTGGAAAAAGTTACTTTCAAAACACTTGCCTTGCTCCAGTTTTCTTCTGAGAATGATCTTGTATCTCAGGGCATGAGTAACTCCATGCCAGCCGGAGTCGGTGCATGCGGACCTGAGGCGCCCGTTGCACCGAGGTGATGCATGAGGAGTTAGCTCAGGAGTCTGAGCAGGGCTCTCGCCTCTGGCTGAGCACATGCTAATAGAAGAGCAAACGTAGCCTGAGATCTGAAAGTGTCAATAAATCAGGAATAAATAAGGAATTAAAAAATGTCGCGTTAGCGGGCTGCGCCCCAGCAATTAAAAATAAACCTTCACGACACTGCATTGCATCAGTATGCCGAAGATTTTGTTGGTGTCCCTTTGGAAGGCGTTAACTGTGGGCTGTGAAATCCTGGCACACAGCCTGAGGGGGGTGAGCTGAACTGTGCGTGGTACAGCTGCACCCACACGCTGCTCACAGATGTCACACCTGTGTACCGAAAATCACGTTGCCAGAGGTCAGTGTTCACACCGCGCCTCTAGGGACGGGGGTTCGTGGGGTGTAAAACCTTATCCTTCCCTCCCCCATAAAAGGTTGCCTGTGGGGACGGCTTTCAATTCGGCCTCCTTCCGCGGGGCCGCCCCAGGTCTCCTCAGGGAGCACCGTGAGGGCTGGCTGCGCACCACAGAACTCAAAACTTGGGCTTTTTCCTCATCCCAACTCCTTTGGAGATGCCTGCCTTTAAATGGTCCCACTAAATAGCTCAGTGTTGTACGGAAAGTCACGTTGCCAGAGGTCAGTGTTCACAAAGAAGACAGAGGAGTCTTAACTTTATTCGAATAAAGGGGGAGTTCACCGGGGTTGCCAAGTCCCAGTGAGGTCTCGCAAATTGCCAGAGGACGAAGCCCCTTTTATCCTAATTTCCCGGCCGCACGAAACCCTCTCCCTTTCCCCAGTGGCTGAGGCACTCACAAGGTACAGACTTCCCGATCCTTAACAGGTACCCCCCTCAACAACACACATTGCATGTGTCATTAACTCCAACTTTATGCCACCCAGGGCGGAGAAGTTGATATTCGTAGGCCCGTTAAGCCTGCACACTCTTCCTCAAAGTTCCAAAGCTTAGAGCATCCTTGCTGTTGACTTAATTAATAGCCCTAATGGTCAAGGTGTCTCGTTATTTTCTCCTGCAGGCTCCATCCTGGGACTCCCTCGTTCATGAAGGGCACTCTTCTCTTTGTTCCATCACTAACATGAAAAAAGCCACACACACTCCCCTTCTTGCTTTATCACTTATTCTCCTGCAGGCAACATCCCGTGACTCCCTCGTTCACAAAAGACACTCTCCTCTTTGTTCCATCATTAACATGAAGAAAATCACACACTCCCCTTCTTGCTTTATCACTTATTTGTAAGGACACTCTACTTTCTTATTCTCTCACCTGTATGGGCAGCCTGGCCAAGCCAACGGGGAAGACTGGTCAATTTGGTCAAAAATCCCTATTTCTTGTTCATAAAGCTGGAGTGTATCCTCCAGGTGGTTCGCCTGGAATACAAACAGACCACAGGATATAAATATTTATTTTTTAAAAAGTTTTGGGGTGTTCTGAACATACCTCTGAAAAATTTGTGTGCATACACTGAGGGCAAAGTTAAGCTTCCTGTGGATAAAAAGACTGTAGAAAGCCTCATTAAGCTGGAACTAACCTAAATGTACTAAAGGTACTTGAAGGAACCTGAAAGCAATATGTCCAACAGAAAGCCTGTGGCAGAAAAACTCACCTGTGACTAATTTCTCCCCATTCTCCCCCAAGACAAGAAGGACATAGACCTGTTGGAGCAGGTCCAGAGGAGGCCACAAAGATGATCAGAGCTGGAGCACCTCTCCTGCAAAGACAGGCTGAGAGAGTTGAGTCTGTTCGGTCTGGAGAAGACTCTTGGGGGAGAACCCTATAGCAGCCTTCCAGTACCTGAAGGGTCCTACAGGAAAGCTGGAGAAGGACTGTTTATCAGGGCATGTGGTGATATGACAAAGGGCAATGGCTTTAAACTGGAGCAGGGCAGATTTAGATTAGATGCCAGGAAGAAGTTCTTTACAGTGAGGGTGATGAAACACTGGAACAGTTTGCCCAGAGAGGTGGTGGAGGCTCCATCCCTGGAGACATTCAAGGTCAGGCTGGATGGGGCTCTGAGCAGCCTGATCTAGTTAAAGATGTCCCTGCTCACTGCATGGGGGTTGGACTACATGACCTTAAAGGTCCCTTCCAACGCAACTCATTCTATGGTTCATTCATACGTTCCTCCACATTTCCCCATGCATCCTTGGTACCCAGGGCCATGGAAGTGGGGACCTTGGTGCTATCCCAGTGCTTGCCCCGTCTGAAGGATGTATTCCTCTTTTGGAATAAACTTGCATATCTTGGGTTACCAGCAGGGCAAGCTTTTTGTTATATCCACTGCCAAATTTGTTTGTGTATTCTTAAGTAACATTCTTAGGCCTCGTCAGGGTATTCCTGATGCACGACCAGTTCTTGACAGCTCTATAGCAAAAATGCCTTCAAATAAGAAGTAGAAATCAAAAAGATGCCAGGTGATACTCCTTGCCATCGTGCAGGTTCTTCCTTATAACAGTTCTTATTACTTTTGAGAGTTGCCTGCTGATGAATAAAAAGTAAATTGTTTCAAATGCAGTGAAATTCAGGACTAAGAGTAGTGAAGCACCAGAGCTGTCCTGGCTGGGACTGTGTATGTTATGCCTGACAGCGATGACTCCAGAGAAGACACAGCTATAGCAGATAACAACATCATTCTGTATGTTCTTGCTAACCACTGATTCAGTAGGTCTGGGCAACCAGCAGACCACAACTTCAGTGAAGGAATCAGGAGACTACACTAAAATCCAATAAGATGGTTACATGTGCTCTGTGAAAATGACCTGCAAATATATAATTTTGTATTTGATTGTATCCTATGCTGTTGGGAAGCATTGCAGTGTGCCCAGAAGTCCAATTTAATTCACATGTCTTCATCTTTTAGGTGATATTTTGCCTGTCTTGTCAAACACAAATCTTGTAGAGCAACTTTTTTTTTTAATTTACTTTTTATCAACATATTTCTTTAGGGATATTTTAAAAAATCACATGATGTTTTAAGGTGACCATTAAACAGTTTTACTCCATCAACTGTACAGATTTTTCATGTCATGTACTGATGAGTTACATTGCAAAATATTTCAGATCCAATATCTGAAAACACAGACTAGACCATAGATGTCTGAGACACCAGTATGGAGATGCATTAGTTCTCTAATTCAAACTAGTACATTGTTAAGGCTTTAAGTTAACTCCAGTGGACATAAAGGAAGGCAAAAGTAAGTCACACTTACCCTGGGGCAAAATTGTATGGCATACAGCAGTTTGACATATAAATATTTTCTTTTTAAGAACTGTTAGAAAGCACAGAAGAGGCTTTTTTTCTGACAATCTTATCAGAGTCCTGATCTTGGTGGAATCTTCCTCCAACAATTTCCCTAGGCCAGCTTTACCCTGTTTAGACTTGCTGCCTGTTTTATCAAATGCCTTCTCAATCAGTATTATTGATTATTACTTGTGGATCCGTGTGAAAAAGAATTTTGCCTGTGTATGTGATCTCTTTTGAATTTTTTTCTGCCTTAAAAAGCCACAGCATTTTTGGGTTTCTTCATTTTAATTTTTCCACGCTCTCATTCATTTTCAACAACATACTCAAAACTTTCTTTATCACAAGGCTGTACAATACTTTGAGATAGGCTTCTCATAAGGGAGTTTTGCAAGGTCTCAGGGATATCAATTATGGAATTCAGTAATTTTTGCCAGATTACTCACAGATATTACCTCTTGAGCTTATCTGATCTGCTTGATTCTGTGTACACAGGCAGATCCCTTAAAGATCCAGTGTTTCCCCTAAAGAGCTTAAAACCTAAATAACATTCATTTTTCTTATCACAGATTTAGAACTACAAGAAAGGAAACAAGCCACCTACAGCCAACTGCTCCATCTGAAAATAAAATTAGGCAGAACCTATTTTTAAGAGTTCTGCATCAAATTAAGAGGTAGACCAGCCTCCTGAGGCACTGGTGTTTGAAGCTGGATGCAGAGAAAGATCTGTACCAGCTGAGACTCTGGAGGGAGACAGTTGCCTCGCTTCAGCAAACGCTGGCGCTGCAGGACACAAAGCAGGTCAAAGACTTTGAATCCCTCACATCTCAAATGTTGTGAGATGGCTGCTCATCAGAAGAATGTACTAGCCTTGCCCTTTTCTTTTGTTGGAGGTAACTTCCATCAAAAGATAAAATTTGGGCTCTGGAAAAAGTAACTTTACACTAAAGAAGCAAATCCTGCAGCATGTTATATTTCCGGCATAAATATTAGTTTTCTGCCTCTTATTTTGGGCCTGTATTAGATTAAGCATGACTTGGGCCACAGAGCTTTGAAGCTGTAGACCAAAGCTTTTATTTTTGGTCTAGTATTTAATAGGATTCAGTGAAATTGATTGAGGCACTCGTGAAAATGCTTTTGATTAGCCTTTGTTGCTAAGCAGTGAGCCCTACAGCAGATCCACTGAGCTGTGGAGCACACCGTACCCTCATGCCGGTCCTTGGTT